GCTGCTACTGTTGCTGTTGCTGCTGCTGCTGTTGCTGCAGCCGCTGCTGCCGTTGCAGTTACCGCCACCGAAGTGTTCGTTGCTGCTTCTTCTTTTGCCGCCTTTGCTGCTGCTCTCTCCGGTTTTTCTGCTGCTGGTGATGCGTCTGCTGCTGACTTGGCGTTTGTTGATTCGTTAACTTTTGCTGTTACTGCTGCTGCTTTTGCTGCTGCTGCTGCTGCAGTTGCATCGGCGCTGCAGCAGGCGCTCTGCTGGCTGTCAACAGGAGCAGCAGCATTGCATTTCTGTTCCCCCTGCTGCTCCAGCTGCTGCTGCTGCTTCTGCTGCTGCTGCTCCTGCATCTGCTGCTGCTGCTGCTGCTGCTGTGTTGCTTCAAGTAAGATCTTGATCTCTTCGGCGAGAGCTATGGCCTCCTTTGGGTTGGGCAGCAGCTGCTGCGCTGCTGCTGCATCCGCTGCTGCTTCTGGCAGCAGCAGCAGCTGACGCCGGGCGAAGGCCCGCCGAAGCAAAGCCTTGTAGCAAAGATCCCGCGAATGAGTGTAGCTGCAGCAGCAGCAAGAGCAGCAAATGCACCAGCAGCAGCAGTATAGGCAGTAGTATCAAATGCAGGAGCACTAGCAGCATAAGGACCAGCACCAGCAGCATAAGCAGCATCTAATGCAGGACCTTCGGTACCATAAGCAGCAGCAGCAAATGCAGCAGCAGCAGCGGCAGCAGCAGCAGAAGCATAAGCAGCAGCAACAGATGCAGCAGCAGCAGCAGCAGCAGCAGCAGCAGCAGCAAATGCAGCAGCAGCATTAGCAGCAGCAGCAGCAGCAAATGCAGCAGCAGCATTAGCAGCAGCAGCAAATGCAGCGAAAGCAGCAGCAGCAACAGGGCGTTACCCTCCTTCGAAAAGTTCGCAAATGTCGAGCAGCTTTGTTGCTGCTTCTGCTGCTTGCTTCCACTTCTCTGTCTTAATTGCTGCTAGGCAAAGGTTGCTGAGGGCAGGGAGGGAGTCTGGTTTTGCTGCTGCAGCAGCAGCAAAAGCTTCCTCGGCCAGCAGCCACTGTGCTGCTGCAGCGTGGGCCCGCCCTTCTGCCAGCAGCGCAGCAGCACGGTGCCGCTGCCCCTTTCGCTGCTGCTGCCTCTTTTCTATATCATTTTCTAGCTGCTGCAGCTGCGGCGAGTCAGCAGGTGCTGCGTGCTGCAGCAGCTGCTGCTGCTGCTGCTGCTTCTCCTCTTCGTCGCTTTCTGGCTCGAAGTAGCGCCACTTTTCGTAGTCCGTTGGCAGCGATCTTGCTGCTGCTGCTGCTGCGCCTGCACCTGCTGCTGCTGCTGCTGCTGTGGGGCCGCGCACGATGGCCTTGGTGCGCAGCAGCTGCTGCTGCTTCTGCCGCCGCAGCAGCACTTGCTGCTTCTCCTTCTTTGCTTCTGCTAGCAGCTCCTGCAGCAGCTTTAGCCGCTCTTCACGGCCCTGCAGCTGCCCCCCACATCGGTAGCACCGCTGCTGCTGCTGCTGCTGCTGCTGGCCATGTTGTAGTTGCTGTGCTTCATGCTGCTGCTGCTC